AATTAAATTAATGAGTCCATTTTTACGTTATTTCGCACTGTATTGTACAATTCCTTTATTTGTGGGATTTATTTCTCACACGATAATTAATTAAATTATAGAATGGATTTCTACCTATGCCTAGATCTCGGATAAATGAAAATTTTATTGATAAGACCTTTTCAATTGTAGCCAATATCTTATTACGAATAATTCCAACAACTTCAGGAGAAAAAAGGGCATTCACTTATTACAGAGATGGTGTGATTTGATTTCATTTTTTTGACCGATTTCAGTAAAAAAAATGGAAAAAACCCACGCTAGTTGAAGGTGAAATTTTTAAATAAAAGGATTAATCCCTTCTGTCGTGTATCCTCGATTTATGCAGCCTCTTATGCTTGAACTTTAGGTTTCTAGTATTAAGCGAAAGGTTATACCTATACTTATGGGGTTAGGTCAACCCTAACTTACTAGTACTGATAGGCAACATTAGGAAAGAAGCACTACGCTTAGGAATCAAGGACACGAAAACTTTGTATATATCTGTATCCATGGCTTATCGAGATAGGGACTAACGGGAATGGTTGGGACAATAAATATCCATCTCGTTCATTTTTTGGATACCCATAGAACCGTCGAAGATTATTGAGGTGACTAATTCCAGGAAATTAAGCAGCGTTGAGGACAAAGAAATTGTTGAAGTTATTGTTTTTTTTATCAAATACCTACATACTTAATGTTATGTTAAGAAAGAATTTTTGACAGGAAGGTTGGCTAGAGATTTCTTGTAAAAACACTAGCTCTGTTCAGTTGATAATGAGAATACTGGAATCTTTTTTGATTTTATGTATTTTTCTCATTACACACATAAGGGGGGAGCCGTATGAGATGAAAATCTCACGTACAGTTCTGGAGCGGAGATTCTTTGAACCGAATAACGACCGTAACGGATGTCAGCTCAATCTGAAGGAAATTATGCAGAAGCTTTACAGAATTATTATGAGGCTATGCGACTGGAAATAGATCCCTATGATCGAAGTTATATACTTTATAACATAGGCCTTATTCACACAAGTAACGGAGAACATACTAAAGCTTTGGAATATTATTTTCGAGCGCTCGAACGAAACCCATTCTTACCCCAAGCTTTGAATAATATGGCCGTGATCTGTCATTACGTGCGACTATCTCCACTATAGAAAGAAAAAAGAAAAGAACAAGCAAATCCACAAATAATAATAATAATAAATAAAAAAAGTACTATTAATATTAAAAAAGGCTTTCTACATATACATATATCGTCCAAAACAACGATTTTTATCAGCTGTAGCAAAGAAAGAAATTTCATAGAAGTCAAAATATGAAGAAATCAAACTGTCTAGATACCCTCTTTTTCTATGGATAAAATATCTAATTGATAAAAGAAGCATCGTAAGGATCAATTAACACAACTTTGAGTCGATATAATAAAAACTGCTTACTTATCTCATGATAAAGAAGTCAGGAATCCACTTATGTAATAAAGTGGATCCCCTGATATTTTGAGCAGCGGTGTAGTATCAAATCCCAAAGATAGGAAGTATTTTCTCTTTTAAGATAAGAAAGAAAACACTTTTTCCAAGATTCTATAAAAAAGAATATATCATATATTTTTCTATATGATATATAAAATCGAGATAGTTACCTTTCATAAAATTAGAATTATAATGAGGGCATTAATGCCGATGCTTTATTCCCTTTTCTGAAGGTAGGATAAAAGATAAAACTAAAAAAAAGATGAAATTCTTTGAAATTATTTATTTATTATATTAGTAAAAATTCAAGTTTGAAACTCATGTTAATAATTTCTTTTTTTCTTTTAGTTAACTTCAAGATAATAGAACAAAAAAAGAATTGACTGTTGAGCCGTATGAGTAAGGAAATTCTCAAGTACGGTTCTAAGGAAAGGAATTGACTCACCTATTCCGACCGAGGAGAACAGGCCATTCGACAGGGAGACTCAGAAGTTGCGGAGTCTTGGTTTAATCAAGCCGCTGAATACTGGAAACAAGCTATAGCCCTTACCCCCGGTAATTATATTGCAGCACAGAATTGGTTGAAGATCACAGGGCGTTTTGAATAAGAACACTCTGTTTATTTATTATTTTTTCTTATATTTTTTATCTATCTATATCTATCTATATATAGATAGATAAATATCTATTGTTATAAATTCTTGTTTGTTGTCCCTATCAATCCAATTAAAAAATCATTTCTATAGGAACGACCAATCACAGAATTTCAATATATTCCTTCTATCAATTTATTCGATTTTGTCTAGTATTTCATATAGATAAACGATATGTGGATACAGTAGGGAATTTTCTCCTTTTTTCTGTTATTCAAACAAATATTCAATCAAATTAATAAAATAAAAGAGACCTTCATTCAAAAAAAAGAAATAAAATGAATTCCATCTAGGAACTTCTGAGTAAAATCTGAATACATTTGATTAGGCTGCACGAAAAATTATTTAACTTCTATTCAGAGTTCGAAAAAAGGTCTTAGAATATTAAAAAAGGTCCGTTGAGCGCCCCACTGTTATGTCATAATAGATTCGAACACTTGCCCCGAATTGACTTCGATATCATAATTGTTCTAGTGAAAAACTAAAGAAATGAAATTAACTAAGATATAAAATACATGAGAGATAGAAGAGAACAAAACTCAATAGAAACATCTCTAAAAAGTTCACTAATTCTGTTTTATGTTGGCAGGTCTCTTTGTATGTGTTGTCCGGAAAGAGAGGCCGCCGTCTCGCTCGACGAGGCCGCCGTCTCGCTTAAGCCCAACGTCGAGACCGCCGTCTCGATGGACCAGACCGCCGTCTCGACTTGGAAGAGACACGAGACTGCCGTCTCGCCCACCCAGACGGCGGTCTCGATTTTGAAAAATCCCCTATATATAGGGGGCACGCTTAGGGGCTTCCTCACAACTCCCCTTGCCTCCAGAACCTCCTTTCTCTCAACTCCTGCACTCCCAAGCACCCTCTGGTCAGAATGTTTAGCAGAAGCGCTTCCAGGAAGAGAAGGAACATTGTCGGTGCCAGTAGTTCTGCAGCACCGCCGTCCCAGGACCCTTCTCAACTGTCGCCACAGCACCAGGCCCGCCTTGAAAATATTCGGACCTACCAGTGGCACCCAATGCTCAAGCTGGATTTCAACATCCTAGCTGAATTTGGATGGGAGAACGATGTCCAGGCCCATCTAGATAGCATAGGGTGGGGCTTCCTGCTGCAGCCACCACCTACACATGTGTACCTGCAGGCGGTACTGGAGTTCCTAGCCTCCGTCTCTTAGTCTGAGGTCCCCTCCATGGTTCCGGGCCTGCCGCCCACCAGGATGGTGACCTATTTTATGGGTGGGCAATACCAGACCTCCACCCTCAAAGAATTCAACGTAGCCATCGGGTTCGTCCGGCCCGAGGACGCCATGACCCAAGAGTACCGTGAGGTCATCTGCTCACGGCCCACCAACCTTACCGCCGCCGAGATGTGGCATGAGCTCACGGGAGCCACCACGCTGCCCACGCTGATGAGGGGATCCGCTCTTCCCCCAGCACTCCGTATCTGCCACAAGCTGCTGGCAGGAACCATACATGGGAGGAAAGAGAGTCAGGGCAAAATATCCCTCCCTGACCTCTTCGTACTATATTGCATGAGCCAGAAGCGGCGCTGCAACCCCGGGTACTTCTTCCTGAGAGCCCTCAAGGACTTCGGGCACAGATCCACGGGGGTCGTCCTCATGGCTCCACTCATCACTCCCCTGGCAGAGAGTTTGGGGTGCCCTGGCCGGGAAGAGCTGGCCCACAACCTGCGACCCGAATCCATCGGCGGGTCAATCTTGGTCAGCATGGGAATGCTGATTCGCAGAGGGACCCAGCTGGCCCTCCATCCCACACTAGATTTTGCATTGGAACTCCAGGATGCAATGCATGATCTGCCTACACCCCCCGACTTCCAGCAGCAGCAGCAACCGCCCCGGTATGCAGACGACTTCGCTGGCATGCACCGCCACATGAGCGACCTATGCCAGCAGTTCGACCATATGACTGTGAGGCAGGAGCAGATATCCCGGAGCCAAGAGGAACTATCCCAGAGGCAAGAACAATTATCCCAAAGGCAAGATACATTTGACACCCGGCTGGGGGAAATGTACCAGCACCAACAGGACATGCGCCACGACTGGACGACGTTCCAGCAACGATACCAGGATGAAGTCCAAGAACAGGAGGACTTCCGGTATCACATGTACCAACATTTCCCTCCCCAGGGATCGGGTCCAGAGGATAGCCCATAGGGATAGTGACTACCAAAAATAGGGTTGTAATAAAAATTTCCCCCCATAAATAAAAATTCTATTTCATGCATCTTTTCGCCATCTCTTGCAAAAGCCAGCGTTAAAAAAAAAAAAAAACTTAAAAGGGAAAAGGCATACGCTCAAGGAAAAAGCCAAAATCTTGAATCGCGAGGAAAAAAGAGATAAAACCGCGAGAAAAAGGCAGGGTTAAGCCATCACCTCACCCAACAAAATTTCGACTACCAAGCAAGAGTCGAACAAAACTAAGACCCATCCGACCAACCAGGAAGGATCGGATAATAATAAAAAAGAACAAAAACAAAGAATCCCCGGCAATCAACAAAGCTGGATGAACACCAACAAAATCCCCGGCGCAACCCGGATGACCATTCAAGAAATCCAAAAACAAACAACTTAACACAGAAAAACACTCCCCAGAGAGCCGGCGCATGATCAGAATCAGTAAGCCGCCACCATCGCCAAAGGATCAGCTACCGCAAGAAGGGGCATCCAGAGGCACCAAACCAGACGAGGGTTCATACTCGTCAACCAAGGGGTCAGCTACCGCATCGAAGGAGCAACCCGAGGTTTCACACCGGCGCATGAGCATCCCAGTAAGCCGCCACCACGGCCAAAGGATCAGCTACCGCAAGATGGAGCATCCGGAGGCTTAACACCAGATGGGAGTGTAAACTCATCAGGCCTTACAAAAGGGGGCTTACCGGGCGGGGGTTCGTACTCGTCAAACACCAGATGGGGGTGTAAACTCATCAAGCCTTACAAAAGGGGGCTTACCGGGCGGGGGTTCGTACTCGTCAAACACCAGATGGGGGTGTAAACTCATCAAGCCTTACAAAAGGGGGCTTACCGGGCAGGGGTTCGTACTCGTCAAACCAGATGGGGGTTCGTACTCATCAGCCGAAGGGGTCAGCTACCGCGTCAAAGGAGCATCCTAGAAGCGCACAAACACAACATTTCCCCAGAAGATCATCCGCCACAAAGACGGAGCATCTGAAGGGCAACCGGGCAAGAGGGTCAACTCCTTTACCCTCCAGTCGATCACCTTGGCACAAAAGGCCAGCAGTCGACTGGTCGGGTAAAGGGGGGCAGCTGTAGACCCCAAATCTTGTCTGGCCTCCAAATAAAGACCAGGAGACCTCCTATTTGAAGATGGACAAAGCCTAACAAGTCATTAGGAGAGACTATTAGGCCCCATACTAGGATAGGAGGGAGTTTCTGTACAAAAAATAAGTTTTCTCGCCTTGTTGGGACGAGAACGCCGTCTGGATTTTTCAGACCGCGCGTCTCGCCTCACGCAAGTGGCGAGACCGCCGTCTCGCTTGACGAGACGGTGGTCTCGCCACCTGCGAAGGACGAGACGACGGTCTCGTTTCCCTAGATGGCGGTCTCGCCGCATTGGCAGGTCGAGACGGCGGTCTCGTTGGACGAGACGGCGATCTCGACCCTGACAGACGAGATCGGCGGTCTCGCCACTGATAGGCGCGAAAACCTATAAATAGGGGTCCTCCCCCCCTCATTTCCACACACCTCAAGCTTCTTGCTCTGCCTTCTCTCTAAAAACTTCTCTCTAGAATCCCTCCGACGCATTTTCGGAGTTTCTGAGTGTCTTTGAGAGCATTTCTCGGCGTTTACAAGAGTTTCAGACGTCGTGTAGAGTGAAGGGCTGCCAAAAAGCACCCATTTATTTTAAAAAGATATAAAAAAGCTTGCTTCGGAGGTTTAAAACTCTTCCTTTCTCTTTTATCGCTTTAAATTTAAATTATGCAATAGACTAGGGCCATGTAGTCATACTTTTAAATTCCGCATAATAAAAAGGGCAAAAGTATATTTTCCAGTTTATTTATTAGCAATAAAAGCTGGCCTGTCATAGGGAACCCGAAAGGAGCGTAGTAAAGGAACTAATACTTCCTTTACCACGTAACTAACTCCCTTACCCAACTCTGGTTCTAATGACCAAAGTTGGTTTTCGAAAACCAACGCCTTTTAAAAACCTTTTTCCGATGTTTCCGGTAAAAACATCGGTGGCGACTCCACAGAACCCAAAATAAATAAGTCCTTGGGTTAGCCCGGTTATCGGACAACCCAAGGACACCTTTCGAAAACCTCGCCCCTAGGTTAGCCCGGTTATCGGACAACCTAAAGGCGTTGTACCACCTATAAAAATGCGAAAATCAAAAAGGGTCGAAAAAAAACCATCACGTCGCTCTGACCGACCTTCTCTCTTTTGAGACGGCGGCGACAAACACCTCTCTTGAAATCCACAAGAGATGAAGAACAACTTTCCCTAGAGACAGCACAACACACAATCCACTAAGAACTCTACTTAGTGATTCTTATCGCTTCTAGCCCACACCAGGTTCCAAAAGCCCCTTTTTCCTCCAACAAACAGTTCTCTGGCACTCACAACACTTAACTTTTGTTTGAAAAAGGTTGTTCTATTTTCTGAGAGCCTTAGAGAACCTTAAGTAGAGAAATTAGGGTTTGGGAATTTTTGGAACTTGGAGTATTGGGATTAGGGTTTTCGAAAATAGGTTTAATTTGAAGTTGAAAATCAAAATCTGACTGAAATAATCGATTAAATGAAGTGTTAATCGATTATTACATAGCCAAAATCAACAGAATCTCAAAACGCACTGTTTTAATCGATTAAGTGCCCTGTTAATCGATTAACTGGCCTGTTAATCGATTAACAGGCCAATTAATCGATTATTACAGTGAACAGATACAAAAAATGGTTTTTCTCACTGTAATAATCAATTATCTG